ATCGGTCACCACAAGGTCACCAAGCCCCTTATTTTACAAAAAAAAATACAACAAAGTTCCTGTTGAACTTGCTGTTACTACGATAAAAACTACTCTTGAGAAGGATTTTTTTTATAGATTTCCGATCAACACGTTTTTCCTAGAACTCAAATATTATTTCTTTTACGTACTAGTTCCTCCTACCGAATGTCAATACGCTTTATCGTATATTGAGAATAAATTCGATGCACACTAAAACTTCATAATGTTTAGCAGCTTGAGATTGACCCATAATTTTCTGCTCAATAATCCAAATCATAGCTTACGCCACCATGTTCCCGTTCAACTTGCTGTTACTAAATTTCGGTCCCGGTGGCGAGCTCACAGACGACGACAACAACTGCTTTTCAGAAGGATTTGATATGGATCTCCGATCGACACGTCTTATACAGACGATCTTCTATTCAGTAAGCAAAAGAGGCAGCCATCAAGCTAAGCTGCTCTATTAATTTTTTGAGACGTTATTTGGTAAACATTGAATTAAATTTAAACAAATAAGTGGAGAGGATCTCATTCGAATGATCTGTAACTAGTCGCCCTCCATGTTAAACTTAAAATCAACCGCTCTTGCAAGCTCAGCGCTTAAATATAATTATACACACTAAGATTATTTTACCGAAATCTGTGAAATTTTACCGAAATCTCAACAGCTGAACGTTCAGTAAACAGTTCGGTGATTTTTCACAGATTTCCTGTAATTTTTCACCGAACTGTTTACCGAACGTTCAGCTGTTGAGATTTCGGTAAAATTTCACAGATTTCGGTAAAATAATCTAAGTGTGTACATATGGGTCATTCCAAATCAAGTGAGAACACCACATGTGGTCGATGTCACCGATTTTAGCCAAACTTGACCAAAACGCTTAAATTGGCATTCTAAACAAATGCCTTTTTTTTATTTTACTCTGAAGTGCCTAGATCCCTCTCGGCTACAACCCTGGATTTTCAAGATTTTTAAAAATTTCATCTCTCAGAAGAGATTTTTTCATAACAAAATAAGCTATTCGTAATCTAAGAACGTCAATTTGAAGGTTTTTTAAGGTACCCACATTTTGTTTTTGTTATAACTACAGTAAACAGATTGATTACCGGCAGGTATCCAAATGGTAAAAAATGGCCTATTTTCACCATGGGCGGGATTTTTTATTTCTTAATATTTTGGGCTCAAATTTTCACCACACTTTGGAAAACTCTTTTACTTGGTGTGTTTCCAAGGGCAAATGATTTGGACAAATGGTTTTTGAGATATCACCAGATGAGTGAGTGGTAGTTTTGAGCTTTTCAGGTGGAAAATCATTGATTGTATTTTCACATTGACCCCTTACTCCCTTATAAAGTGTACCCCGTATTCCCCTAATATCTCATGAACTGTTGGTTAAAGACATAGTATTCTTAAACCATGCATAAAGTGCTTATGTTTTACGAAAAATAGAGCTGTGAAAAACATTTCCTCCAAAAAGTAGGTGAAAATGGGGTAAAATGCTTCAAAACACATACCTACAAGGCTCTCCGGTCTATGGGACCACGTGTAATCGATTTCCCGGACGATTTCCCTTCGGAAAAGTCGTTTTTCATGGCCGGAATTTAGCGTGCTGTTGAGATATTGAATTTTGGGTAATTTTGGACCCATTTTTGCCCATAGTGCAACCCCTCAAAGCGCGATTGTCGTCGTCGGCGGTGCCAGGTTTGAATGGTCACAACAACTCGAATAACGGTATGATGTGATATGAGGGGCTCGGTGGCCTTAGAGCGATCGTGTTTGCTTACTGAGCAGAACATCATGAGTCTAATCTCAGGCCCATCCACATACAAGATTCGTGAATCGTTTTATTTGTTACTATGACTACATGGTAATAACAGCAACTCGATAATATAAAAGGAGCTCGTTGGCGTTGTGGCTGTGTTCGGGCGTGGCTGGCGTTAGTATTGCCTAGTTTGAGATCACCAGTTTTTACACATCCCAAGCATCGTCTATTGGTTCTCTGTATAATTACAGCTGATCTGGCAAGTAGGCAGAGTAGCAACCGTGGGTGGTCAATCATGCTCATTCTCATACTCAAACTTATCTTGAACCTTTTCTTTTCCGGTAGCCATGTAAACTCTTGACCTGGGAGCATGCTTGGCATGCACAGTTGTACACACTAACTGCTCATTTGTTAATAACTTTTCACCCAGTTATTGAAATTTGTTTTTCTTCAAAGTAATTAATAGATTAGGATCATAGTTTACTATAGATATGCACAGAGTATGTAAATCTTAACATTTGAATCAACACCAATGAATTTTTACACTTAAAGTCCGACATGTGCAACGAGCATTTCTCACTTCATTTTTATAACGAAAAAACAAATACAGTTTATTGCTAGAATTAAAATCTACTTCTTTTTTACGTATCTACAACAAGCTTAAACTCTATTCTATCGACTACTTCAAACAGAACTATGTATCGTCAACTGTGTGCAAAGTTATTAGCAAATGAGCAGTTCGTGACCAAAACTGTGTATGCCAAGCATGCCTGGGAGCTGCTTGAAATCCGCCTTGACGTTTATTTCATCGTTCAAACGTAATCAAATTTCTGACGCATTCAATCTGTGTGAGAATAATTTGGATTTCGCTTATGCGTGATCAAAATTTTGATGTGCTGCTCCTTTTGCTTCGATGCCATTTTGACAACTGAATGGAAGCAAAATAGACGCTACATAACTGGTTGCAAAGGACAACAAAGCCATAAGCAACGATGGTTTTTTGATATTTGGAACAAAATTCACATATGGAAAATCAATGAGCGAAAACAGGTGAGGACCAGTAAATTTATCGTCTCTTTCGTTCTCCGGCTGTTTAAATGGATGACGGAGTTTGACGTCACACTCCTTCAACCGTTTAAACAGCGGGACAACGAAAGAGATGACAAACTCAATGAGCCTTACACATTTACATCTCATTGATGGATTTTCAGTAGGCCGATTTGACTGCACATCCCGCCCTGGTACACACAGACCTACAAAATGAGAGGTGTTCAAGTTTTTTAAACGCAAGATTAAAAAATATTCGCCAAATTTGAGTCAACCAATTTTTTACCGTTCTAACCTTTAGGTACTATGAAAATCCATTCAAAATAAGTCTCCTTGTTAAAAAATCTGCGTACAACAACCGCGTTACCTCCCATCCGTGTACCCCTATGTTCGTCTTTTTCTCCAGTATGTCGCTTAGTTCTAGATCAAGAGCACATTACCTTGTGTTCTCAATCCCTACCCTGCCATCCGTTTGTTACAATTTGTTACCCCTAGCCTCGAGATAGCCGCGAGTAATCGGCCCCCGCTTTACTAACGTTAGTTTTAAATAATTTTGTAACCCAAACGATGAACATCGGCTCCGCAAAGCTACGGCAAATGAGCCTCGAAAAATAAACGCATTTAAAAAAAAAACGCGTTACATGAAAAATCCGCGTAAAAATAAACCGCGTTTATTAACAAATCCGCGTAAAAAACAGTCGCACAAAAAACCGTGAAAAAATTATCCTCAGTGTACACAGTTTTTCCGAATAAAGCGAATTGATATCTCTTGAAGATCATGCGATATCTAACATTTGAAAAGGGCCTATCCTCGTTGATCGATTCTCTTCATCGACTTTCTCTTTGGTTTACCATGGCAACATAAACGAATTTCTCGCTAAGCTCGCATTACAGTTCTACAGAAGATGATGTTAGCTTGCGCCTGAACTAACACAGTGAATGGGAAATTCATTTGCAGTCGGGTTATTCGCGAAAAAGAAAACCGAAAAAGAGAATCAATCATCAATGATAGGCCCTTTCTCGTGTTGCGCGAGATATTAACGATTTTCTCTATGAAATACGCTCTTTTCAAATATTAGTTCCCCAGCACGGTTAGAATAGTCCAATTTTAAAGTTCCCATTTAGAAGGGCTTAACTCGAAATACATCATACGAAAAATTAGAGATATTTATTTTTTAAACTCGTATAAAATCATTTTGACTTTTTAATTTTATTTTTATATAATTGAGTATAGGTACTTTTTTTATTCAAAAATATACACACATTCTTTTATGCAAAACATGCGTCTTAGACAGCTTCAAATTCTCTTGTAGATGACTTTCATGAGAAATTTGATGGTCCTATATTTATGCAAAATTCTTAATTTTTCCACACATCCAATAACAAACAGAAATTATCCTATTACAGTAATGTTAGCCATCCGCACATCAGACTTTTCTCTTTTAATAATTTAACATAACCGTAATTCCAAATCTTTCTCATTCATCTTTAAGGTATATTATAAGACCACTGAAAAAGCACGTGGGTTTCGTAACATTTGCAAAGATTATCAAAAGGGAAGCTGACCAGGGCTGTCATCTGATCACTCAATGCGCGCAATGTACTGATTTTCTGAAATAAACAATGTGAGAATCAAGCAAACACAAAGTGGGCCTGTTTTTCACCCTGCGCAAGTGTAAAGCAGCGGAGAAGAGAAGACAAACACACACCCAGAAATAACGAAAGCTCAATGTGTAGCCATCACTCCCACGGCTCCGACGCAAAGAGCACCACTCAGTGTAGGGTTGTAAATGCCCTTTCTCATCTCCTATGCATGCAGTCGTGCAGTAAGCAAAGTCTGCAAAGAATTCACTGCGCCGCACGGAGTGTACCGCTCATTGTGTGGATCGCTTTCTCACAGATTAGATGGAAAAGAGTGTGCAAAGTAAATGGGAGAATCACACACTCTTTGTCGAGTGTTGTGAGATGCATGCACAAAGTTGCTTTGCTAACGCTCTGAGGTGCTTTCCAGTCCTGGAGCTGACAAAATCGGTTCATTTTTGTATCTCAAACTGTATTGAATATTCTAATTTCCCAATAATTGTAATCCATTTGATGCACATAATACTTCAATCCAAAAAAAACCGAATGTTCCTCTACTAACAGCTCCATTCGAACTTCCCATTGCAGACGGAAATCGCCAAACGCCTGAACGCGCTGATAGGACAGCTGCTGCCATTCCTCGCCACAGAACACCAACAGCAGGTCGCACAGGCAGTGGAACGTGCGAAACAGGTCACCATGCCGGAGCTAAACGCCATCATCGGGGTAAGTGACGGTCTTTCCCGAAGAAAAGCAGCACTTCTCGGATTTTCTTTCCTCGTTTCCGTTTTCCGTTTTGATTTTCTTGTTTAGGAACCTACATAGATTTCCAACTCTTCCGGAATGCTAGAAACTGATTTTTTTTTAGTTCACGATTGGTTTTCCGCTTTAGTTTTGGAAATTTGTTCTGGTAGTTCATATGCGCGGCTATTTATAGTTGGTAGCAATATCCCCCCCAAATCGTCTGAAGCGGGTTTAGTTTTCCACTACCTATGTTTGTTTCTATCGTGAATCCCCCAAAACGTGCTCGGTTTTTAAAATGAATTCTTTTTCTCTCTTTCTTCTCTGGTTATTTTGACGATGATTTTCCGTTTTTCTGCGCGCGCTCTTTGACACTCTCCTGTTTTGTTCAACGAAGCAGCAACATCAACAGCAGGGAATTCAGCAACTTCTAGTAAGTGTTCGAATCAGCTTCGTTTCTGTTTTTTTCTGTTCTCGGAACACATAAGAATAGTTTAACAAAACAAAACAAAAAAAAATAACGAATCACTGCACTCATTACACGTTGTTGCTCATGTGTTGTTAACCCTCCTACCACCACTACTAGGTCCGAGGATAATGTTACACCTTTGTTTCCGTTTTAACACTCGATTGTCTTTGTTGTTGCATCGATTAATTACTCCCAACCATTATTCACGTTCGCATTTTCCTGCATAATACTCTCGATGTTTGTAATTGAACCAAACTGTTCACAGTTGGACCCAACACAGAACAAAAACACTTTATTTTAATTTCACTCCAAATTAATCAGCCCAATCTCTGCCCACTTGCCGGCTTAATTTCATTGTCTCTCTCACGTTTGTTCATGTGTGTGTGTGTTTGTGTACGTCTGTGTCAACGTTGAATGTTAATTATTTTCATTAATTGATCGTATCGTTTGATGCCCTCGTGGGGATTTTATGTTTGGTCACTTTTCCTCCGGCATGCATTTCCTACTTACCACCCCCCCCCCCCTCCCACCTCCCACTCCACTCCTCTGCACACAATCAGAAAAACAGTCAGATTATTTTACGCCACCGCACATACCAACAAACACTGCCAATCAACATTGTGTCCTGTTGTGGAGGGAGATATGTACATGTGTATGTGATCCTGTATCAAAGAGCACAATCCCACACAATCAACCACGAAAAGCTTGATCCATTCCACACCCCTCACAACACCGACCGAGTGGCTTAAAATTTCAAACAGCTCAACTCGAGGATTATATTGTATCATTTATGTACTCCGGTGTGGAAAATCAACCGCAGCGAAACATCGGCAGCTCGATGAAAACCACTAAATACATAATGAGGTAAAGCCGTGTGACGTGGAATGTTCGGTTCGGGGCAGGGGCATATGGGGCAGGTAGGACGGATATAGAACACAACATTCCTGATGGGTGAACAAACAATAAACATCAACGAGCGGACGGGTTTATCGTTATCAATCAACACGTGGCTTATTGGAGTTTAATTAACCATCTGACATTTGACTCCCGCTTTCCGGTGGGCTTAACTCCCGGGACACCCCTCACCCAATATGCCCTGATTGCACTTCCGAAATAACCGGGTCCGATTATCTGTATCGTTTGTTGCGGGAGTTAATGATGATCCGCTCGGCTTGCGATGGAAATCTCTGCGAATCAATATTCATGACAAAGTCAGTGGAATTATGTTGATAGCTGTTTAGAATGGGGGAGTGCTTCTTAATAAGCCTTGTGAAAGGCTTGTGAATTTTGTTTTTTTTTTTCTGGTCAATATTTCAAAACAATTCCGGTTTTGTAATTCACGTTTTTATTTTAAAGGGAAAAGAACTTAAGGTCTCTTCAAATATTATCATCAGGGTCTTTTTTACCTACGCTTCATGTTTGCCATCTGAAGGGGAATATTTTCTACGATGGAATAAAAACAATTGTTTCTTATTGCAATAATCAAAATTGCCGAACTTTTGCTCAAAAGTGAATTATTTGGCGTGAAACTGCTCAATTGAGGATAATTCGAGATAAATTCTGATTAGTATTCCACGGTAATATGCCGTAGGTCGGACAGAAGAATGAAATGAACTTGTTTCATCGACGGTCAAGAACAGAATGAAATTTTTTTTGAAACCAATTAAACAGACTCTTGGCAACTAATTCATGGCTTGCTGGAGTCTTCAATCGCTTCATCTTCAACACTCCTCCTCGACGGTTGTACTCCAGCTGCCTCTCGGAATATTTTCAATTTCAGCTTGGCCAATGGTTTCGTCAACATATCCGCCACCATGCTATCGGTTGGGCAATATTGCACCGAGATCTTGCCCTCCTCCTTCATCTGGCGGACGAAATGATATTTCGTATTGATGTACTTTGATCAGTTGTTGATTTTTCCTGATTCCAATTTCTTGATGCACGACTGGTTGTGAATTTGGATCGGTTTTGTCATGAGAACGGAGAGATCTTGCAATCTCAACCCATTGTAACTCTTTGTAACACTAAGCGAGTGCCACAAACTCAGCTTCTGTGCTGCTCAAAGCAACACATGTCTGCTTTCGGGATGCCCAGTGGATTGGACCACCACCAAACACCACCAGAAATCCAGAATTCGACTTCCGGGTCTTCACATCGCCGGCCCAGTCAGCGTCGACGTAAACCTCCATGACAGCTCCTCCTGATCCAAGTACAAGTTCGTGGTCGTTGGTGAATATGAGGTATCGAAGTACAACATGAGTGTGATGTGCACGTTAGTTTTTGAACTCGCTTGTTCTCCGCATTCTATGTTCGACTATGTTCAAACCCATTTGTACACAAGTTTGAACGCAAGTACAATGAACAAGTACAAACTTCAGCTCGAGCCTCGGCTCGCACCAATGTTCAAACTCATGTGCAAGCGAAAATGCTCAGAAGAAGAAGCGAATGTAGAATGTGGGGAACAAGCGAGTGCAAAAACTAACGAGTTCCTCGCACACATTTTGTACCATGAAGACTACTCATAAGAAGAAGTTATGCTTGAGCAATTGCATAAAAATGTCAGTCTTTCGTTTACAATTTACTGACAGCGAGTGGTTTGTCTAGAATTGTTCTTAGGGGCTGTTCATTAGCTACGCTACAGTTCTTTGGACTCTTGACTCCCCCTCCCCCTGCGTAGACAATAGTCCATTGTATTTTTTTTAAATTTATCGACGATGGGCGCCCACTGGTGTGGCGGTGATGTGGTATCGTGCAACATGTCAAAACATCATGCCGAAGTCGTATGGCGTGTGCTACGCGTTGACATGATGTTTTAACATGCTAGCAGATGCCACACCTCCGCCACAACAGTGGACTCCTGGCTGTAAGTTAAAAATCGTTCTGTTGTAACCCAGTTAGGAAGCATTCATTAAGTACGTCACGCTTTAAGCGGGAGAGAGCGGTTCACAGATATGCGACTATCAATGCATTAGGAGGTAAAGAAAAATCGTGACGAATTGAGAGGGGGGTTGATTTACCCTACATTTTGCGTGACGTACTTAATGCTTGCTCCCTTAGACGTGCTCACACGACGCATGTGCGCCAAATTGTTGCAAACAGGGCCCCACAAAGTCACTTTCTATCGAAAATCGTCAAGCGACGATGAAGCTGTCAACCATCACTTTCAATTGAAAGTCATTATGTCTTCTCTTCGAGCAGATCCCCGTCAACATAAACAGAACTACTTTCGATCAATTTTGTATGCTATTTGTTTTGGCTTGACTCGTGTTAATTTCTTCTTTTATTTTCAAATGAACCTTCTTTTGCATTGAAACGAAGCTGTTCGATCCAAATTCGTGCAGTTTTTATGACTTTTGTTGCTTGTTCACTCGGTTCATTTAAGCGTATGCGCATAGATCCGAGGGGGGCGACACATCTAAATCTCAATTCTAGATGCTCAAAAATCTCACACTAGCCAATCAATCTTCGAAAAAAAATATTTCATTTCTCGCATGTACTTGCATCGCACTTCATCTTTTTGCAGGATATCTTCTGAATCGTCATCAATCTTCTTTCTATCTACTCAGCGTGCACGCAGCTAACCAAAGCAAAAAAAATCCTTCATCGTAGATAAAGTCGCCCCCCTCGCATAGATCTGTGCATCAATATGGATATTTTTTTTTTAATCGGGAAGACATCTAGAGATCGAAAATTGATATGCGACGCAATTTTGAAATCCAAGATAACGGCTTCCAGTTTAAGAAAAAATGGGAAATGCTGTCAAATACTAATCAATAAAGGTATTCTGGGAATAGCGATGATGTCTAGAGGATTAAAATCGATAATCGACGCCATTTTGAAATTGAAGATGGCGGCTTCCGATTTACGAAAAAAATGAAATGACTGTATTTCCACTTTTTCGCAAATCGGAAGCCGCCATCTTCGATATCAATATTGATATTTTTGCAATCGGTATGATGTCTACAGATCTAAAATTGATATGCGACGATCCATGATGGTGGCTTCCAATTTCAGATTAAGGGGGAAATACTGTCAAATACCCATCAATAAAGGTGTTTTTTGGAATCGGGATGGCGTCTAGAGGCCGGAAATCGATATTTGACACTCTCTGAATCCTGATGGTCGCCATATTGGATTCAAAAATGGTATCTGATATCGATTATCTGTTCCAAAAATAACCATATTGTAGGGTATTTGACACTTTTTTCTGAAACCCTATGGCCGCCATGTCGGAGTCCAACATAGCATCGGATATCGATTTTCGGCAGCCACGCATTGTCTCCGTTCCGAAAATTCCCATATCTTAGGGTATTTGACACGTTTTATGAAACTTGCTGGCTACCATCTTGGATTCCAAAATGGCGTCGAATATCGATTGTCGGCATCCCCGTTCTGAAAATACCCATATTGTAGGATAGTTGATACTTTTTGAATCCTGATGGCCGCCATATTGGATTCCAAAATAACGTCGAATATCGAGTTTTGGCACCTTGCGTCGTCCCCGTTCTGAAAATACCCGTATTGTAGGGTATTTGAGACTTTTCCTGACCCCGAGGGCTGCTCGTGTGTGAAACCATATACAAACATCTGCGCATACACTTGCGAACAACATCTATACACCAGAGTGTATTGCGTGAAATGTACATGCGTTCAAGATTGTTCAAGCTAAACATTCGCTTGGATTTTTGTTCATAAGCTCAACATGGTACATGTTTTCGTGAAGACTGCCGCTTGTAATGGATAGCTCACCGATCTTCCAAGAATCGGTACGCTGACCGCGATGTCCGGTCGGGTGTTTACTGTCACGTACAACAAACCACCAACCAAACTTGTTTGGCAGTTCGGAATCTTCGATGACTTTGCGTCAGTCAACCCAAAACCGCTCCAACAACTTCTGGATGTAAGCCCGCTGGCGGATGTCTCCCAACGATGTAACCGTAAAACTACGGTTAAGGGCTGCGATG